GCATTTCTTGGAGTTTTAGGTTTATAGCCTTTACCAAATTTGGAAAATTTCACCACTGTTTCTTCAAATACACCCCTTGCTCCTCTCCAGGACAGTTATGTTAGATTGCTTGATACCATTCCGCAGGTTGTAGAGGTTTTAGTAACTTTTTTTTTCAGTTTTTTTCTTCATGTTTCTGTTCAGACAGTTTCTGTGATCTAGTCTTTGAGTTTACTAAGCTTTTTTCTTTTGCAGTGTCTAATCTGGTGTTAGCCAGTCTAGGGAATTTTATTTTTCATTTCTGACATTGTATTTTGAGCTCTAGAATTCCATTTGATTCTTCTTTGTATCTTTCATTCCTGTCCTTACTGTGTTCCTATTTTTCTTTAAATCCTCAAGTAAACTTATAATAGCTGTTTTAGTCTTTGTCAGAAAATCCCATTATCTCTTGTCATTTCTAGTTCTGCTCCTATTAGCTATCTACCCCTCCCCCCCATATTATCCTGCCTCTTTGCATTTTTGCAGTAAATTTTAGTGGTTGAGGCATTTTTGTGAAGGATGTTGTCTCTGCCCAAAAGTTTATTTTTTATAATGTTTATTTATTTTTGAGAGAGAGAGACAGAGTATGAGCAGGGTAGGGGCAGAGAGAGGGGGAGACACAGAATCCAAAGCAGAATCCAGGCTCTGAGCTGTCAACACAGAGTGCAATGTGCGCTCAAACCCACGAGTGGTGAGATTATGACCTGAGCTAAAGTCGGGTGCTTAACCAGCTGAGCCACCCAGGCACCCCTGAGTAAGTTGCGACAACGTGGGCATGTTTCCAAATATCTGCTTTTAAAATGCTGTTGCTATAGCAGGAATGTCTTTCAAGAAGTGGCTTTTTTTTCCCCACTAAGTATTAAATCATCACATCTACTTCAAAGACATAGTTTATGCGTTTGCTTTTTCAGAAATGTCTCTCAGGCAGCAATTACCGATAGCCATCTGCCATCAGTGAGCAGGGCAGCTAATTTGGAACACTCCGCTTTGCAGAAGAAAAGTATATAACTCGCCTTTAAGCGTAAAACTGTTAAATACTTTGCCACTGAACCGACAAAACTGGTTTTGGTCCAGCGTCCTGCAGTTTTCTTCTCATGCCTCCGCGGCTCACCTCACAAGAAGCCTCTTCTCTGGTGGGTTTTCCCATCGGGAGCAGAGTTGAATACAGACTTGGTTTAGACAGTGTATTTTTAAGAGACCAACGTGCTACCTACCGCACCAGGAGGGCGCTTCCAATGTGGTGTTTTCCACTCCAGAATTCAGTTTGATTCTTCTTCATGTCTTCTGTTTCTCTCCTTAACTTCGTTCACATTCTTCTTTAGATCCTTGAGCACAGGCCTCACTGACGACATGGCCCTGGTTATTCTCTCTCCCCTTCATTGCAGCCTTACCGGCTTGCCTCTGTGCATTGAATGTGCCACGTTCACACCCACCCCTGGGCCTTTGCACTGCCCTTCCTTCTGCCAAGAGGCTTCAAAGTCTGTCCCCTTTGCCACGCAGATCTTAATCTCGGCGTCACCTCTTCCAGGAGGCCCTCCCTGTCCAACTGTCCCCAGGACCCATTGCCTGTTCCCATATCCCATTTCCTCTCTTACTCCTGCCTGGCAGTACTTGAAAGTATTCTGTTTTAGTTTTGCTTTTTTGTTGGTTTCCTTCACTGCAGTAGAATGTCAAGCCTTGACAGCAAGGATTTTGTCTTTTTGCGACCGTGTTCTCCCCCCACCGCCAGCACCTAGAACATTCCTGACGTCACAGAACATACATGGGCACCGGCGTCAGACTAAAGTGCTCATTCCTTGGGACGTGCTGGCACTTCCCTGCTCCTTGATCTCCCCCTTGCTGCGTCTTCCACAAGGACTGAGTGCACCACAGCCTCCATGGGTCTAAATTCTGTCTCATCTTTAAAAAAATTTAAAGAAAGTTTACCTTTGCCAGTTTCTCCATCTGGGAGTGGCCTTCCCCTCATCTGATCTTCAGTGTGGCCCCTCCTTGCTTTCCCTTCGTCATTCGTGAACTTGGTTCCTCTCTACCGTGAGGCTTGGTCCCGGCTGATTCAGCTGAATGTCCAGCCCAGTGCGTCAGCCAGGCCAGGCTGGGAGCAGAGCGATGCATAGGAAATACTTGTTAAATTAGTACTTGAAAAGACCATATAATTTAGGTGACTGGTTCTTCAGGAAGCAGAAATCTTAGAATGGTGCGTGCCTGTTTGCCTCGCCGACGTCTCTCCTTCCTGCTGTCCCCGAGTGGGAGGCCAGTGCCCCCTCTCCCCTCTGTGATGGCCGGAATTAATGAGGCCATGTTTCATGTACTTAGGAGAAGAAGAAGATGCTGCATAAGTACAGGTGATGGTATTGTTGTTGTTTGTTGTAATTGCGTTCTGAGGCCGGGGTTGTGTAATCAGCCACACGATGCCTCCAGGAGAGCTTGAGGAACTAACTCTTGGATGGCCGTACAACACCTTGCACGTTTGTCACGTTGGGCGGATGGAACTGGGACATTAAAGTGTGTTGAGTTGGACAAGGCGCGGCAGCGGGGTCACAGGACTTTGTGCGATCCTGTCCCTTGCTTGGCCTCCCCCAGACACTTCCCTAATTGAGTTGCTGAGGTTGGAGGCTTCCGTTCAGAAAGAGACCCAAAGAAAGAGACCCAACGATACTTGTGTGGGGCTTAATGGCATCGGGAGTCATTAACAAGACAAAAAGCTGTGATTTCCCCTAGATTAACATGCAGGTTGGGGTTTGGCGAGCCGGGATTCATTGTTTTGGTCTCGAGCCCAAACATGCTAGAGTCATTATATTGTCATGTGGTAATTAGCTGTTCCTTTAATACAAGTAATAAAAATTAAGCCTAGGAGGTACTTTAGCAATGCCTTTTACATAATCCAAAACAATATTCAAATGCTGTAGGCATGTAGGCACCCAACTGCACTGTAGTAAAGTTTGAGGCTTAATGCTTAGGGATGTTGGAACGTTCAGTTCATTCTTTATTCTGTGACCAGTTTTGCTACTTAGGCATTAACCTTTAATAATGTTAAATGAAATATACATGCCTAATGAATAATTATGAGATTGCTAGAATTTTCATTTACAATAGAAGGCTTTGAAAATCCGTCTAAAGGTCTAGTTACCATTCACTTGATAATGTGCGTGTTATTTTTATATGTCACTGAGTCCCTTGCTCAGTCGAAGGAGGGAAGCTATTTCCTATTCGAAGCAGACACAGTGAGTCCTGGCCTTTTAAAAGGAATGGGCTAGAAACGTTGTCGAGAGAAATTTTAGGGAAGGCGAGGGCAGTATACTAGCTTGGCTCTTCAGAAATATAATTTGTACTGGCAGTTGTGCCACGAAGCCTACATGCGCGAGCGTTAATAGAATTTTATCTGAGTGCAGCAGTTCTCCCTCTCCTCAATCCCTCTCTGACCTCGGTGTCAAGTTCACGTTGTAGCTGTATATGAAGGTGGCCCTGGGCAGGCTGTTTGTTTCCCGCAGGCCAGTGGCCCAGTGCGAGGCCGTAGGGAGGACGGTGAAAAAGGGAGAGGGTGGGGGGAGTGTGGGGCACAGAGGAGGGAACTCAAGAAAGACACCGAAATGAACAAACACAAGCAAAAAACTGCACCTGGAATGTTCTAAGGAATCCAGTCCCTAATGTTATTACTACCCCTACTTCGAAGGAACCATCTCCCCAAAATAGCTTTTGAAATCTAAGTTAATGTAAATATTTTAATGCCGATTAAAATAAGAATGAAAAGCCACAAATGAGAGAGTGGTGTAGTCATAAACTGTATATACACACACGGAATAAATGCCCAGCGGCCAGGGGCATCATGTGACAGGCAGTGTTGCGTTAAGCCCCACACGCAGGCCCACTGTTGCGCTGGACGCATCCCAGAGCCTGCCTTTTGTAAACTCTGCAAGACGTTGGCATCTCGCGGAGTTCCTGGCTCCCAGCAGACTGGCCGACTGAGGCACGGGAGATCCGTCCTCGCTTCCAGGAACTGAGGGTGGTCTGAAAAATTAATGACTCTGGTATTTGAAAATTAAGTGAGCTCTTGAATATATACCCTTGTGGATCCACCAGCCTTGGTGTTTAGCATTCCTCAACCAGAGACTAAATCTCCGCAGCCACCTCACAAGTGATGCTGGCATCCATACCAGAAATATCTTCAATAATCTCCCCTAAGCCCGGCCGACTTAGAGACTTCTCTCTGTGGGGCAGAGTGCTCCACGGGTGCCCAGCAGGTGGGCCAGACGTGCCTTTCAGGCAGAAGGAAAAACAAGAGATCCTAACAACGCCAGAGGAACATTTAAGGCCTCTCTGTTTCAGGCAGAATTAATGATAAAGTCAAAGCCCAAGAGTCCGTATTTTCAATTCCGTGTGTCTGCAGTCTCTAATTTTAGGTTAAAATTCATTTTTTTGTAAGTAAATCTGATGGCGGACAGTACATCGGATTCGCCACGGGGCCTCACGTAACTACCCCGATGCTGTCGCCTCCGGCCCCTACTATAATCAGGAGTGCGGTGCCCCCTCCCCTGCCCTGCTGGCTGTGGCGCCTTCCCAAACGCCATCCATCCTGCGGGTGCGGCTCTAGGTACAGGCTTGACTTTCCCGGGGCTGCTCCGCTTGCCATCACCACATGCATCCCCTTCCTGTCCGTCAAATCAAGGACCGAGCAGTCCTTCGAGTGTCACACCACATGGGAACAGCGGGCAAATCCCAGCCGTTTCAGGCCACGTCTAGGGTCTGGCCCTGGGGGTTGGGTCTGTACCTCCAGCCAGCCTGCTGTGGGGCCCTGGGCTCTGCTGGGGGGTTGTGGGGGGCAGGGGTGCCCTGGGCCCTGGTAAGGGGTGGCAGCCCCAGGGAAGCCAGTGGGGGACGCCGACTCCCTGGGCACCCTGGCTGGCCTGCCCTGAGCCTCCGTGTGACCGTGAAAGTGGCTTGTCTGTGTCCAGAGTGGGGGTGATGCGCGCTGTCCTCTCCCACAGATCCCGTACCGGCTCTGGACCTCGGGCAGCAGCTCCAGCTCAAAGTGCAGCGTCTGCACGACATTGAAACGGAGAACCAGAAACTTCGGGAAACTCTGGAAGAATACAACAAGGAATTCGCTGAAGTGAAAAACCAAGGTGGGTGGGAGATACGCTGTGCCCTGTGCTCTGTCCTGTCTTCTTTTTCTTTCTTCCCTGCTGCTCCTTGCATCCCACACTGTTGGGACAGCCCGCCCCAGGCTACATGGCACGGGGCGGGGCGGGGAGGGGGGGAGCCTCGCAGCTGTTGGAGAGAGAGGACGACGACGTTTAGCTGTTTGGAGGTAGAAGTTTCCTCCGCGCTGTTACTGCACATCGCCCAGGGACAGACAGGCCAGGATTCTTAAACGGTCTTCCTGGATCTTCCTGTGATAGACTCCACCTTACAAAAGGCTGCCGTGTTCCCCGTGGGCGACAGCTGTCAGGGAGCCAGCCTGTGATCAGAGGGCCACGTCGGGCAAGTCAGGTAGTCATGGCTGGTGGGACGGGAAGGCTCCAGGCCCGTCCTTCAAGGCCGTGTGCTTAAGCACCTCCGTGCCCTTGTCAGCGGCGCCTGTTTGTTACGCGGTTAATGAGAGAAAACAGCCCCGTGGTGTGGCTGCCCGGCTTTTCCTGCGGGGGAAGAACAAAGCTCCCCCTGCACCTAAACTCCAGATGCGTCCAGAATCCGGAGCCCGCCGGCCGCCTCCTCTCGACAGATCACAGCTCCTTCTCGCAGCAGCTGCGGGCCCCTCTGCCCGCTCCACCGAAAAGTCTGCCTGCTCGTTTGTGTTTTCTGGGGGGGCCGGGGGACAAAGGCGCCGGGTGCGGGAGGTAGACCACCTGGGTGACTGGGAGGGCTTCCTCCTAGCAGGCCTTCTGTCTAATATGCCCCGAGGGCTGGGCGCAGGCTTACTTGTTGAGGGTCTTTGAAGTGTCCTTGGGCTCTAAGACCACCGGAGACAGGCTTTGAGGGACAATCCTGAGGACCCCCCTTTCCTCGGTGGGGGAGTTGGGGGCGGACAGGACAGTGGAGGCCATGCCTCCATCCGGCTCACAGGGAGCAGTGAGCCCGTAGGGCACGTCTAGACAGCTTCGTCCCTCTTGAGAGGGAGCTGTAGGACTGCGGGGGGCTGGGATCCGGGTGCAAGAAGGTGCTGCCTGCCCACCCCCCGACTCAGGGGAGAGGGAAGCTGTGAATGCGTGCATCTGGGTGTCGGTGCCACACTACCCAAAAGGAGGGTGCTTCTTTTTTCCCTCCCGTGACCCCTGGCATCTCATTTTGACAGGCCCTCTCTGTGTGTTTGCTGTAGTTCGATTTCATTTCCTGGGAGGACATGCGGGGGGGCCCAGGCTCTGCGTAGCCTCCTTTCCCTGCCGCGCGGCTCTGTCACCACCCCGGTGGCCAGTTGCCCATCAAGGAACTGTGACGGAGCGTGGGCTGTCCTCCTCCCCAGAGGCCTCCTCTGATGGGCTTTTTCTTTCTTAATTTTTTTTTTATTGTTTATTTTTGAGAGAGAGACAGAGACAAGAGTGTGAGCAGGGGAGGAGCAGAGAGAGAGAGACACACACACACACAGAATCCGAAGCAGGCTTCAGGCTCCGAGCTCTCAGCACAGAGCCTGATGCAGGGCTCGAACACACAAACTTTGAGATCATGACCCGAGCTGAAGCTGGACACTTGGCCGCCTGGGTAGCTCAGTCAGTTAAGTGTCCAGCTCTGATAGGCTTTTTTCTTTTTAATGTTTATCTCTGAGAGATTTGAGAGAGATAGAGAGACAGAGTGGGAGCGGGAGAGGGGCAGAGAGAGAGGGAGACACAGAACGTGAGGCAGGCTTCAGGCTCCGAGCTGTCAGCACAGATCCCGATGAGGGGCTCTAACTCACAAACTGCGAGATCATGACCTGAGCTGAAGTTGGACGCTTAAACAACTGAGCTCCCCAGGCACCCCGATGGACTTTTTTGAATGAAATAACTTAAGAACAAAGGCTCCAACATCAGGGAAATACAAATCAAAACCGCACTGAGATACCACCTCACACCAGTCAGAGTGGCTAAAATGAACAAATCAGGAGACTCTAGATCCTGGCAAGGATGTAGAGAAACGGGCACCCTCCTACACTGTTGGTGGGAATGTAAACTGGTGCAGCCCCTCTGGAAAACATTGTGGAGGTTCCTCAAAAAATTCGCAATAAAATTCCCCTATGACCCAGCAATAGCACTGCTAGGAATTTACCCAAGGGATATAGGAGTGCTGATCTCCTATAGGATGCATAGGAGCACATGTACCCCAGTGTTCATAGCAGCACTCTCAACAATAGCCAAAACATGGAAAGAACCTAAGTGTCCATCAGCTGATGAATGGATCAAGAAGATGTGGTATATCTATATGATGGAATACTCCATGGCAATGAGAAAGAATGAAATCTGGCCACGGGTAGCAACATGGATGGACCTTGAGGGTGTTATGCTGAGTGAAATAAGTCAGGCAGAGGACAAATACCATATGTTTGCACGTATAGGAGGATTAGGAGGAACTTAACGGAGGACCATGGGGGAGAAGAAGGGGGGAATAGTGGGGGAGAGGGAGAGAGGCAAACCATGAGAGACTCTTAAATGCTGAGAACAAACTGAGGAATGATGGGGGGAGGGGGGAGATGGGCATGGAAGAGGGCACTTGTGGGGATGAGCACTGGGTGTTATATGGAAACCAACTTGACAATAAACTACTTGTAAAAAAAAATAATAATAAAATTAAATAAATAAATTATCAAATAAACCANATAAACTACTTGTAAAAAAAAAAAAATAATAAAATTAAATAAATAAATTATCAAATAAACCAAAAAAAAAAAAAAAAAGAACAAAGTCTCCAAAGGCAGACAGACCTAGTTTGAGATCCTTCAATGCCACTGTTTAGCTCTGAGACCTTCAGCAACTGATCACGTGATCTCACCTCCTGAAAATCCTCCTTTTGTATACTAAATGCTTAGAATTTGGGGTGTGCTTACATGGGGTGCTGGGGAGGCATTTAGTACATATCCCGACACTCAGCAAGTATCAAAGGCTGTTTTTGCACGCCATTGTTTTTTCTAGAAATTCCCACTCCCTGTCCTTCTTTATTTATTGATATCTTTACCAATTTTCCCAACCTCCAGAAAAATATCAACTTCCTCTCTTTACTTCCCAGTATTCAGTGATTTTAATTTGGAAAGGTGACGTGTACACCACTTGCTTTTATCATCGCCACCGTGGTGTAGACTTAAGAAAGTTGCAGGAAAGAAATCTCTCTACCACTGAGCTCTGGAAGTCTCCCCACCATTTAAAAGGAGTCCATTGATGCCCAGGCCCAGCTACTCAGCAGAACGTTAGGGTCCTCTCTCTGCCCGGCTGTGCTTCCTCCTCGTGGGGTCATATGTACGGGATCCTACTGGGACACACCCCGGGGGACACCCTGTACCCAGAGGGGCCCCCCTGAGGCTCCAGGACGAGCTGGCCCCTGGCTTAGCGTCAGTCCGCCAGCAAGCAGCCCGCCGTGAGTGGGGATGGCCAAGAAACCTCCTCAGTCAGAGTGGGAGCCCCAGCTAGCGCCCCAGAGTCCTCTGGAAGGAGTACAGCTGTGTCACGCCGAGAAACCGCCTTGGACCCAGCACAGAGGCCTGCGGGCTGTACAGATCTTTCCAGCCAGTTATGAAAGGCAGGCGTGCTAGACATTCCCAGGGACACAGAGATCGTCGACTTAAAAGAATGTGCATGTGTTTGTGGAGTTGACGTGTCGCAGTGTCCGCTTGGGAGGTATTCCCTCCGCCCAACTTCAGTCCTGTCGCTGTGACTCAACCGTGACGTGGATCACTAGCCATTAGCCCTGCAGAGCTGGTCTTTCAGGCCCCAGGCAGCCGGCCCCAAAGGCAGAACCCCCCCCTCATTTCTTCTTTCAGACACCCTGACAGGGTCATTGGTTTTAATTTTCTCTCTCTTCCTCTAAGGAGAACCCTATGGGTTCTGCTTAATGAAAAGGGCCAATTGCTTCTCTTAACAAAACAGCCGTTCCCTTTTCCCCACTGCATCCACGGGTGCTGACCGCCCAGCCATGTGCTCCTGCCTCGGCCGGCACAGCTGTGCAGCACAGAGAGTAAACGTGGATGTGGGCTGCAGCCTGAACGCCCAGGGGCCCCTCGCACTTGGGCAGAGACTTGGCAGCCAGCTGTGTGGCCTAGGCCCTGATCGTCACAGCCCTACCCAGCACTCTCCCCGCCCCCCCTCCCCCCGAGGCAGCCTGCCTGAGCTCCTCCCGTCTTCGTGCCCCGGCCCTTCCTTGGCCTGGCTTTCTACGAGGTGATCCACGCATGGCAGGTGCGGTTCCCCAAGAGCTCCGCTATCCTGAGAGCCAGGACCACAGGGCCCTGCCGGGGACTGTCCGGCACAGAGGGGGATCTGGGGGAGGGAGCAGGTGCAGCGGTCCTGCCCTCGGGCCAGCCTGGGGTCTGAGGCAGGACCTGCCCTGTTCATCACATCTGCTCTGGCCTTTCCCTTTTGGGTAATTAAAGCAAGGGCTGTACACATGCACTCCGTGGGGGATGGGGTTGGCGTCTGGACTTTCTAGGGACGGCCCTGCCCCCAGAGGGCCCCTGTGTCCTGAGCACTGGGCGCCACAGGGCTCCTCCATCACCCAGCCCTGCCTCCCGCACGCCTGGCACTCGCTCTCCCTCAGATGCGGGCCCCGCCCAGGGCCCTGTACCATCTGCCCTGCACACACAGCCCCTGTCTGTCGGACCCTGGCCGGGGAGGGATGGGGAGTGCCCTGGGCAGCCAGGCTGCAGGTGCATCTCTCCCAGTGGAGAAGGTCTGCGCCGCGTCCACCGAGCCTGTGGTGTGTCCCATCCTCACCGAGCCCACGGCCAGGCAGGTCTATGGACCTGCCTGACTTTGGCTAAAACCACTTCTTCCCAAATGCACGCACAATTATGAACTGTTTTCTTTGTGAGAAAGTACTTCAGCCACACAAAAATGTTATTAATCTTCCCTCGGTAGAGGACTAATTTAAAGCTCATCAATAAGATGATATTCTATGTTACCATTGATTCCCCCCCCCCTTTTTTTTTTTTAAAGTTGTATTGGAGAAGCCATAGCTCTTCTTCCGAGCAAAATCCATTGATCCTTCTCAGCCTAAATGTTTAAAGTTCAATTTAACATTTAGGGAGTAAAAGGTCTCCGAAGGGACTCATAACCATTGATTTTGTGTCAGAGTTGAGGAGCCAAAGTTTAAAACACAGCGATCCTAACAGGTTACAAAAGCCCGTGTATGTGGCCTCGTGGAATTGTGCTCCTGTATCACTATCGTTTTTTTTCCCCTTTTTGCAGAGGTTACAATAAAAGCACTTAAAGAAAAAATCCGAGAATATGAACAGACTCTGAAGAATCAAGCGGAGACTATAGCTCTCGAAAAGGAACAAAAGTTACAAAATGATTTTGCAGAAAAGGAGAGGTAAGTGTCCATCGGAGTCTGCCTGCACTTGACGTTTTGCCTCCAAAGTTCACACTGCAAGAAGTATCTTTTCTTTTTTTTTAAGTTTATTTATTCTGAGAGAAAGAGTGAGCAGGGGAGGGACAGAGAGAGGGAGAGAATCTTAGGCAGACTCCACACTGTCAGCGCAGAGCCCGACGCAGCGCTCAAACCCACGAACCGTGAGATCATGACCTGAGCCAAAATCAAGAGTCAGACGCTCAAATGACGGAACCACGCAGGCGCCCCCAGTTTGTGAGAAGTATTTAGAGGAGCCCGCGAGACCAGCCCAGTTCTGTGGGGCTCTCGGTAGAATTCTATTTGAAGAATAAAGGCATCCCTTACTCTGTGATCTGTCAGATGACCCTGAGTGACATGCATTGGTGTTTCCCCACAGGTGGATGGAGTCAAGTAGTTAAGGGGCCAGGGTATGTCCATTGGGGCCATGGGGGGCCAGGAGTTGAGCACAAAGCACATGAGATGACAGGGCATGACCATTCCCCCTCTCTGAGAAGCCCTGAGCTCAGGCTCAGCTCCTAACAGTTTCTGAAATGAATTTGGATATTTAACATCACCCACAAATCTCAGGGTTTTGTTTGGGGTATTTTTTTTCGCCTCCTTTTCTTTATCTCCGTGCTTCATCTATCGAGCAGCCGATCCCAGTAAAATATGTTAGTGCATCATCCGTCCATTGTGGGCATTGGATTTCTGCTGGCCTACCTCGCCCAGAACTTTCCCAGGGAGTTTACTACTGTTAACGACAGTTTAATGCAAGTTAGGTTTCTTACAAAAACTGGCAAAAACTAAGAAGACCTGATTCACTCAGCCAGCGCCTACTCAGCATTTGCCACGCCCTCCCTGGTCATTGTCTCACTGAGTGCCCAGAACATTCCTCAAGAGGGGACAGTCTCATTTTCCAGATCGAGAAACTGGGCTTCAGATTAGGGACCTGCCCACGCTGTCCCGGCGAGTCACCCACAGGTGGGACCAGAGCCCAAACCAGCACTCCAGCCCTGGCCTTCCTTTGTGCTCCTGCATCACCTCCCAGAGTCCTCGCTGCAGGACCAAGGCCAGACCCTCGGGGGCTGGGAGAGCGGGGCCAGGTGCAGCCCCCCAGGAAAGAAGTGAGCCATGCAGAGTCCGGGCTCTGAAAGATGAGCAGACTCTTTTTTTTCTTTTGGTTTATTTTTTTATTTTGAGAGAGAGAGAGCATGAGTGGGGAAGGGGCAGAGAGAGAGAATCCCAAGCAGGCCCCACACTGTCAGTGCATAGCTCGACATGGGGCCAGATGCAGGGCTCGAACTCCTGAACCATGAGATCATGACCTGAGCCAGAATTAAGAGTCAGACACTTGCGGCGCCTGGGTGGCTCAGTCAGTTAAGCATCTGACCCACTCAGGTCATAATCTCACAGTTCGTGGGTTCAAGCTCCGGCGGGCTCTGTGCTGACAAACAGCTCAGAGCCTGGAGCCTATTTCAGATTCTGTGTCTCCCTCTCTCTCTGCCCCTCCCCAGCTCGTGCTCTGTCTCAAAAATAAATAAACGTTAAAAAATTGGGTTTAATTTTACCCAGTGTTGGCACAGGAAAACAAACATGTACTGTTGGTAAGAGTTTAAGTTAGTGAGTTTTGGGGAGAGGAGGGGAAGTTTCTCAGTATCGGAACAACAGATACGCTGCATGTACTCTGTCCGTATACATTCTCCGTTAGCATTTCATCCAACAGATTCCGTCTCAGAATTATACAGCAATATCTACATAATGATGACTGCAAAATTGTTTAGTAGAAAGAGGCACTAAACAAGCTCAGTGTCCAAAAAGGCCAGTTACGTTAATGATTTAATAAGAATGAGGAAGAACGCTTCCAGAGTGTGGAAATAAGTAGAAGAGCAAGAAGGCCCTGTGTGCCAGGATCACTTTCGTATTCAAAGGGGCGGGAAATATATGTTACACTCTCATATATTACAGGGGAGTTTCTGTATTTTGTGCGTGTGTTGTTTTTTTTTTAAACTCGGAGCCTCTTATTAGTTTTATCATTAAAATAAGCAAAAACATGAGCAAGCTTTTTCCATAGGTGATAGAAATCGGGGTGATGTTTTTTTTATGGTGTAATTTCTACTTTTCTGTATTCCCAGGTTTGTTAGTATGGGAGCTTGTGTTCTATTCATGTGATGTAAAAATAATAAGCTTATTTTTAGACCTCTTCTGCAGATGAGGAGGAAGAAATGCTATTTATTGACCAGGGAATTCATTTGGAGATCAGGGGAAATGTAAATCTGGGGATGTTGGGTTCAGACGTTGAGAACCACCCATGAGGTATTACGGTCACATCTGCATTCCATTAGGAACAGCTGTCACAGCTATTAGCACATCCTTTATCCTAACAAATTCCTTCATTGTGTCAGCAAAATGTAAATGTATCATTCTTCTTGGGTAACTTCAGAAAACAATGAGTTCGTGATGATGGGGTTTTTTTCCCCCCTTAAATATCTGGCATTTGAAGAAGTTACATTTAAGACGACCGGCTGCACCAATTAGCACACATGCAGTCCTCTGTGGGTGCGGAGTCGGGGTGCTGAAGATCAGGGAGCAGGCGCCACAGTAACCAGCTGTGTGCCTGTTGCCGGCTACCAAGCCGCAGAGCACACAAGATGGTCACGTCGGAAAACAAGATGACCAGCTTGGCTTTATTCTCTTCCTTTCCAGAAAGCTGCAGGAGACACAGATGTCCACCACCTCAAAGCTGGAGGAAGCAGAGCACAAAGTCCAGACTCTGCAGACAGGTGTGCTGTCCGTCATCCCAGTGTAGTCCATCCAGGGAAGGCCAAAGTGGGGGGGGAGGGGGGGACTTTGGGCTGTCTCCCAGGTCCCCCCACCTCAGGCCCCTGCTGGTACTGGTTGCCCTGAAGGAGTGACTCCTGAGAGCCCCCAGCCCCTCTGCTTTGACTCCATTAGCCACCCGCCCTGAGTTGTTAGTGTCGGAAGCAGAAAGATCTGCATTCCATTTTCATCTTCCACAAGCCCTCCTTTCTTTCCTGTGCCTTTTCCAACAAGCACATCTAAATCACCAAACTGTCAGGGACTGACATTTCATTTGGAACAATAATAGGAAAGGAAAAAAAAAAAACCAACCACTTATTTCCACCCTAAGTGCAGTTAAGAACAGTCATGGCAGACCTTTAAAATTTAAGACCCCAGAAAAAGGCTGTGCTACACTTTTTGTCATTTCTTTACACTTCTTTTTTCTTCTCCGTCTTTCTCTTTTCCTTTTTTTTCTTTCCCTGAAAGGGGAACCGCATGATATACCGAATTTAAGTGGGTGGGGGAAACATCGGACGACCTCAGAGTCCAAGTGAAAACCACACGACCGAGTGTGAGAACGTAGTCACAGCACATTTACAGACACGTGAATAATACCTCCCCGCAAATCTAGAGACCCCCTAAAAACCAGTAACACATCAATAGAGAGAAACAGTCCAGTAGAACCGGTTGCTAGCCACGCAAACGGGCAGTTTGCGGAAGAAATGCCCGCAGCCAGTGCACATATTAAAAAAAAAGAAACATTAACGGTTCTTAACAGGCGGGGAGATGCTGATTAAATCAGGGAAAGATCCTTTTGCTTGTCAGACTGTCAAAAGAATTTTTTTTAATGGATAATATCCAGTAGAGGCAAGCGGCCACACACATGGTATTGATGGGAATGTAAATTGCCTGTGGGTGGAGCCACTGGGTGGTAGTGGCCTGTTTGGGAGCATCTAAGCTCCTTACCCCAGAACCTTCGCTTCTAAGCGGGTCCTAAGGTGTCTGGCATTTGGGAAGCTCCATACGAGAACTTGCTCATAATTGTTACTGCCTATGTCCTGCCCTGGAGAGCTTTTCATGCCCTTCTGCTAAAGGAAAACAGCAAGTCTCAGAATATATTCTTATCATCTGATTTATGCAGAGGGGAAAATATACCTATATATGCAGTTATGTACAGAAATACTTTTTAAGCAATAAAATACACGTAAAAGCAGGGAATCTGCTCACCGAGCCAGGACCCGACGTTCTCTCCGAGGAGGCGCATGGACGAGGCGGAAGAGAAGGGGTATTTTCAGGAGTTCTGTGTGCTTTCATAATCTTCCACTCCCTGGATGAGACTGTATTGCTTGTATACTTTGGCTTTTTTAATTTAATTTAGACAACTGGCATCTTACGTTACGGTTTTGTGTCCTCTGCCTTCCAGCCCTGGAAAAAACCCGAACAGAATTATTTGACCTGAAAACCAAATATGATGAAGAAATTACTGCCAAGTAAGTCTCGGCCTGGCTTCCTCTGTCCGCATGCTTTCGGCTGGGTGTCACCTGTATTTTGCTAATCCATTGAAAATTCCCCCAGCTTTGCTCTCCTGTCTGTCGGCTTTTGCAAAGCTGTATGGGATTCGGGAGGTGCTTGGCCTCAGCGGCTCCCCCATGAGCTCCTCGCCTCAGTTTACTACCCAAGATGTGACCATACTCTCTGGTGCTGTCAGATGCTGGAACTTCCATCTGTAATTACTCTGAAGCCTCGCCAACATGTGCCTTTTCCTAAGAAAGTTTTGGGGAAAGGGCAACTACAGAAGATGTGATACAGGAGACATTTTGTGGAGTTTGATCTGTGCAAATCCTGTCCTCTTCCCCGTGTCTGGGTCTTTGGCTCCCACACGGGTGTGTTTAGTCAAGTCCTACCTTAGGACACCAGGCCTCTCTGTGCAGACACGGGTACATCGGGAGTGTGTACATCTGGGCAGGTGTGTCACAGGTGTGTCACAAGGTGGCTTTGGCAGAAGGAAATGCGTGATCTGCCATAGGTACGCCTGTTCCAGCCCGCTCTCCACGCAGAGCACCCGAAAAGAAGGAATAGTGTTGACGTACATCTAGGGAGATTGTCCGTAGGCACGCGGTCCTCTGCCAGAGTCCAGACGGGCAGTACCAGGCAAGAGCGTGACCCACCTTCTCCTGTGCTGGGAGGCTCCTCCTGTCTCCCTCAGACCCCGTGCCCTCCTGCTGTGCCCCCACAGTGGCCATGGGTGGGGGGCGGGACAGGGGGAGTGCCCCCGAATAGCGCACCTCCTCCAGGGCTCCTGTGCTGTCCTGTCCCTCTGGCCATCACACTTGCCCTTGGCCTTCCAGGTTGCTGCTGGGCCTCGTGGGGCCTCTCTCGGTGGGATCTTTGCCTTTGCTCTGTGTTAATTAGTGGCTCCAGAACTTGAGAGCCCAACTACCCGGGCCTGGTGGTCAAAACCAGTTTTGATCATGAGCACAGAATTCCGGCACGAAGACCAAAATACTCTCCTCCGTCTCGGCGACCCTGGCTGACCTGTTGGCATATCTAATCGCAGTGGAAATTGCCAGATCATCTTACCCTCACCTGTCAGTGTTCTGAGTGTGGCTTCAGGTGAGATAGAATGAGCTGGCTCTAAGGTGTAGGATAGGTGTTAAGATTTTACTTTCAGACCTGCAGGCTCCCGTATTAACTCCTCCAACCTGGGGCATCACGGTCGATGGGATGGCAGACGTGCAGGACCGTCCCCCCTTCACCCCCCGATGTAAGCTCATAGATGCCATCCCAACCACTGACACCCTGGTGTTCCCCAGTGTCCGTGTCTGGCTTCCTATTCTGCCAGTCTGCCATCTTGGTTCTTGTTTTCTTTCCACCTGGACTTTATCTACTAAGCAGAATAGTAGTTGTGTTTTTTGGTAAATTCCATGTTTTTAGTTACAATGTTTTCATTTGATACAGAGATCAGCTAGTGTCTGTTCCATCTGATACAGTCCTCAGGTTATAGAATTTTCCTCCTAAAATAGTTTCATCTCTTGACGCGTTGCTGGTTCTCTGGCCCATGGCCTCTTATTAACATCAATTCACTCGCTGACAAAACTCAGTGATTTTGGTGGTGATCTGTTTATTTCACTGGTTTTCAATATTTTATTTTTAGCAAACCACACCCCTTTCTAGAAAACATACATACATCTCGCATTTCTATAATTAGCCAAAGTCTGCGTTACTTTGCACGTAAAAGCTCGTTCAACCAGTCTCAGTATTTTCAGACTGGGAGTCACAGCGTGAAGTCATTTTAGTGAGTTGCAACCAGCCAGTCGGGCAGTAAAATATGATAGGAATCAAAATAACAGAATAGGGTCGAAAATATCATGGCTCATGGCACATAGTAAAGTCAGGTATTGTTGTCCGACCCTTTTGTGGTAATTAGGCGTCTAAATCTAAAAATGTAAACATACAGCTATTGGGCCTCAGTGTAAAACATAGTTCTGCTTGTGGGTCTCAATCAGAATTTCTTGGGAAAGCCACTGCTCTGGGAGCATTATAAAAGCTCGCCTTCCAGAAGCCGGTGTCTCCTGCCGTGTCCTCGCAGGCACGCTGGGGAGGTGCTATTAGCCACGGACGTCCACCTACTTGGCAGGGAGAGAAGCAGCCTGGTGACATGTAGCGTCTACCAAAACTGTTCAGAAATGACAGCACATAATGCCACTTGTCACATGATAGCTAAGTACTGGTCCCTGGTTTACAGTCATAATTTCTCCCTGGGCTTCTAAAGAGCCATGTAGAAAATGTGTGTCCATTTAATCGGTTTGTTTTAGGGGTTGAGGAACTAACGCAGCAGAGAACAGCCACGTGGGAAGGATTTAAATAAATGATCCCTGCTCACAGGTTTCCATTTCTCTAGGTAGAGAATATGGTGGCTGGTGGGGGGGGGGGGGGGGGGGGGGGGGGGGGGGGGGGGGGGGGTTAGGGAGCTACTGGGAGACAGACCAGAGAAGCAGGGTCTCTCATCCTCTGTGCCCACCCTCCTTGACCTTGCTAGTGGCCGGGCTGATGCTGGGCAGAGACTTCTCTCACCCAGAACTGCCAGTTAACCAAAGTCAGGGCCCTGCTCCCTAGGAGGGGGGCGGAGGTACCTCTTAAGATGACAAGGATGATTTTCAGTCTTAAGTGTTTTTCTAGTTATTGTCCGCAGACGTGTCGACTCCTGGGCTGTTCCTAAGGAGCCGGCTCTGTCGTTTTATAAGTACAAACATTACATCTTGGGTCGCCTGAATCAGCAAGGTCACCTGGGGCTCCAACCTGCTGGCATCTGATGGGAAACGGTGTGGTTGTAACTGGTGTGGGCTCAGTGAGAAACATCTCTAGACTTTCTCTTCTTACCCGGCTGTCTTAAGGCCAAAAAGTGTTTTCCCCCCAAGTCCAAATAAATGAAAATCTATGCATTACTTGCTCATTTTCACCAAACTACAGGAACCGGAACATAGAATCAAAAAGCATGAGAGTTGCTTGTTCTAGCGTGTAAACATGCTTTGCTATTGTTACAAACTGCTTATGGGGCCGCGGACTCTCTTGGGGGGCGTCCACTCCTGGGACCAGAGCAGGAAATTCTCATCTTCTCCAGCGACGAGGAGGGAGCCAGAGGTGTGGCACACGAGCCGAAGTCGTGTTGGGCATGACTTGGATAGAATAGATCTACTTGTCAGCACTCACACGTTCCTAGAAGCCTCCTCTGCGCCTGGCCCTTTGCTGGGCTCGGAAACCCTGAGATAGAAGGCTCGGTGGAGGGGGGGAGCCATCGCAATCCAGTGTGGTCACTGCTGTGATGGGGGGATGTTGGTTAGCACAGCCCCTGTGCTGTCAGGGTGTCCACGGAAAACAGACAGCACACTCAGCCCGAGCCAGGGAGCAGGGAAACCACAGAGGCCGGACGGCAGCTTTAGAAGACCCTTGCCCTCCCCATCCCTCCTTCCCGGTGCCAGGATTCTCATGGCCAGACTCTGCAGAGACCAGACGGCAGCCTCCAGGGGAGGTCCACCCAGGTGGAACAAAAGGAAAGGGTAATCAGGGAAGCCTTCCTGAAGGAGGTGGCATATGGTTTGAGGTTAAAAGATGAGTTCCAGCCAGTGGCTGCTGGAGGCAAAGGGAGTGAAAACACAGGCCGGCCAGTCTGACCTGGGGAGTGAGCCAGAAGTGCCGACCACCGGGATGGGGCAGGGTGAGTGCAGCGTGTGCGGGGCTGGGCGAGGGGAGGAGGGTGGACTCGGGCCTCCACAGGGCTCAGGCATTTCCCAAGTCGGAAATGGACTAACTGCTAACAAAAAGGCAGCCTAGGGCCAAACGCTTACTGTACATGGTTCCCAGAGTAAGTAATCCACAAAAAATGTGGAGAATGGACTGAGTTAATAATCACTACTTTCTTGTAGCTTTGAGGGGATTGCTTCAGCCTCAGAGATCCCATATATAGATGGACGCTGCTCCCCCCATCCCTCTCCCCTTCTATTTTCTGGGGAAAATGCTGGTCACTCTACCATCTGCCTCACGCCCACCCTCCACATATCTCATTAGACTAGATGTCTTTCTGTTTATGAATACAAGCCCACCAGGGGTAAATGTTGTCACAAATGGTCTTAAACTGTCTCACAACAATTTTTTTCTCTCCCTGAGAGTAGGGATTCTTAAACACTTGTTGACAGAAAACGCAGGAAGTGGGTGGGGGCCGCGCAGCGGAGCATGGGCTTCGAAGAAGGCTGACCCCGGAGCGGGTCGTGGGGTCCACGATGCTCTGTGTGCTCATCTGCGGCCCACTGACCACCACTCCCGCTGGCCTCACCCTGCAGCAGGGGGCGCAGTGGCGGTCAAGATGCTGGCTGGTTGTGCAGAGTAATGGGAAGGTGTGCAGGCAGCGCCCGGCATGGTGACAGCCCCCTCGGCACGAGCTATCTGCTGTCACTGAATAGAGCCCATTCCCAACAAGCTGACGGTAGGGCTTGTGCGTTTCAGAAATTAGCAAGCGTCCGGGAGAGTCGACTTTAATGGCCCCATCTCCCGATGGGATTTGAAGAGCCCACGTTGCCTCTGCCTCTCCGTCACCCGGGAGATGTCACGGGGGCGACCCTCCCTCACCCCCATTCTGGAAAGAAGCCTGCAGGTCGAAGGCACCGGGGCTGTTCCGAGAGCTTGGTTCATTGTGTGCGGTCACCGCCCTGCGTCAGCTGGGACAGCGCAGGCTGACTTGTCGGGGACAGCAGCGGTAAAGTTTTCCATGTGTAGGCTTGAAGCAAAATGTAATTAGCCTTTATGTGCAGAACAAGGGCCCATTGATGAATACAGCTGGTCTTTGTTTTGTCCTGTCATTTAGAGTGGGAGGTAAAAGTGTTCTTCTTCATGTTTATTAATGCGAGATTCCTTAGACAAATGGCAAGCACAGTTTAATATTTGTCAGAACACAGGGGGCTTTGCCAAAACAGTTGTGTAAGAGGATTGCAGGGTT